CAGTGTTCTACCTGGCTTCTGTCCTCTTGGAATTTTATATATATATATATATATATATATATATATATATATATATATATATAGGAGTATAAGTTTGCAGGTATGCAGAAAATAGAACATGTTGGGTGCATAATCCGGAGTTCCTTAGTATTTTTGTTTTTATTTTTAAGAAGACGGTGCTCCATACAGAAGTAGACCTTTAATAATAATAATAATATTTTTTGTTCCTTCGCTAATCATATTTTTAAACATATACATATATATATATATATATATATATATATATATATATATATATATATATATATATATATATCTTATATGTATACTGAACTCTGATATTATCTATCTATCTATCTAATTTTAATCTCGTGTTCCTCACATTAAACAGACCTTGTGTCACAACCTGACATTTGGATATTTGAGTAAATACAAAAAAAAAAAAGCCTGGCGATTGTCAGATTCAAATGCAATTTTCAGTAACTTATTAATGAATGAATGTTTTTATTTACTGAATCGGTTGGTAGCAAATCAAAAATGTAATCAAACTCAGAAATAATATCTACGCAAAATAGTTAAAAAGTTTATACAAATTTCTTGTTTAGTTTTTTCGCGGTTAAAATGGCGGTTCGATGAGTGACAAAATGAAAGGGAAAAGTTTTTTAAAAAGCTTCAACTGATTAAATTCATTACTTTTATTTAATTCGGATTAGCTTGAAATTATTATCATTTTTCAAACAGAATCAACATTTAAGTTCAAAAATGTCATTTTTTTTATTTGTTGTTCGATAGAATTATGTACGATTACTTTTCCCTCAAATGAAGAGGGAAAGACGTTGGATTAGATAAATTGAAAGATAAAGATAGAGACTGAGATAGATATCAGTTTTAATAAAATAGATAAATAAATAATGAAAAGATAGAGAGAGAGACAGTAAGTCAGGTTGATAGATAGACAGACAGACAGGTAAAGAGACAGACAGATAGATAGATAGATAGATAGATAGATAGGTAATGAAGCGATACAGATAGATAGCAGTTTTTATAAAATAGACAGACAGACAAAAAAAGTATAGGGATATTCCAAACGTAGCTTAGATATGGCACAAGGCCGAAAGTAAGGGACACCCTGTGAGGATCGAACTCACTGCTAAGTCGTAAGTTTCGAGTGACAAGATTGATAACCATTACACCGCCCCAAGTTGATAGATATTAAGATAGAAAGAAAGCAGTTTGAATTAGATAGATAGATAGATAGATAGATAGATAGATAGATAGATAGATAGATATTTAAAGGAATCAGATAGATAGATAGATAGATAGATAGATAGATAGATAGATAGATAGATAGATAGATAGAAATCAGTTTTAATAAGATAGACAGATAGATACTGCATATAGACGAACAGACAGACAGACAGACATACGAAATATAAAAAGTAAATGTTCTGCAATGTCACACACACACACTTCCAAGCCGACACACATTCACACACACACAGACCCAGACACACAGACTAACATACGTATCTGACACGCATATCCACAAAGTGACAAAACAGTTTCATTATTAAAATTTGGTTTCAAGCTAAATTATTAGTAGTATTAGTATTAGTAGTAGTAGTAGTAGTATTAGTAGTAGTAGTATTAGTAGTAGTATTACTATTAGTAGTAGTATTATTATTAGTAGTATTAGCCTAAACGTTTTCTATGAGTAAAATGCCTTGAACTTTAAAAATTAAAACACTAATTGGCTTTAACCATGGAGCAAGTGATAGCAAGTCTTTTTAATTTATCCATCAAGCCTAAATATTATTATTATTATTATTATTATTATTATTATTATTATTATTGTTTTTTTCTTTTGATTCAACCTTCGATAAAATTATTTCTGAAAACATTTTCCTCAATTCAATAATGAAAAAACTTGTTTTTTACTTTTATTTTCACTCGACAAACAATTGAACTAAATTTGGATTTCTAGGAAATTTTCCCAAAAAAAAATGAATTATACAAAAGCAGAACTACTCTCATAAACACACACGTAGATATATATATATATATATATATATATATATATATATATATATATATATATATATATATATATATATATATATATATATATATATATATATATATATATATATATATATATATATATATATATATATATATATATATATATATATATAATATTTATAGATGTATATATGTATATGTATATATCCAAGTATGTATATTTATGTTTATATATATATACATATATATATATATATACACACACACACACAGAGATATTGTCATTTAGTCTCAACACTTCTGGTGTCTTATCAGGTGATGGTGATGAATGTAGAAATATATATATATATATATATATATGTTTTATCAGTTATCTAATTTCCAAATTCTAACCGGGTATTGAACTGACACTCTTTGGGTCACTTGGTGTAACTAACGCCTTCATCCACTGTGCCATGTGTCCTTGAGGAAATCTGTGGCGTGGATTTTTGTCTATTATAAACCTCATGTCTTAGAGAGAGAGAGAGAGAGGGGGGTGATAGATGGACAGATAGATAGATTATAGGTCGATAGATGCTGTATTTAGATACATAGATCAGGTGACAGAATTGCAGTATATATATTTATATATATATATATATATATATAGAGAGAGAGAGAGAGAGAGAGGGCGACAAGTTGTTTCATGCTAGACACAATCGAATTGCGTCTAGCATGAAAACAGCAAATCGCCTCTGAGTGTTGAATACAATGTTCACTTTTATATTTATATTTATATAAGCTCTATCTTTGATATTGAGCACTTTTATCCCATAAATAAAGAACACCTTAAAACTAGATTTATTCATATACATATAGTCAGACAGACAGAGAGACAGACAGACAGGTTGGTAAATGGACAGATAGAGAGATAGACGCAGAGAGATAGATAGATAGATACATACATACATACATACATACATACATACATACATACATACGTAGAAAGTCACATACACATCCAAGCGGATACACATTCACACAGTGAAAGCCAGACACACACACGTACGCACAAAATAGTTTGATTATTAAAAATAAAAATTGTTTTTCAAGTCAAATTATTAGTAGTATTAGTATTCCTATCAGTAATAGTAGCAGTAGTAGTAGTTTAAACGTTTCGTCACGCGTAAAAGTCTTTGAGAATTCAAACATTAATTTCTATCGACTATAATCATGGATCAAGTGACAACAAGTCTCTTTAATATCCATTAAGCCTGCTATTATTATTATTATTATTATTATTATTGTTGTTGTTGTTGTTGTTGTTGTTGTTGTTGTTAATTTCATTTGATTTGATCTTTAATAAAATTATTTCTGAAGATATTGTCTTCAACTAAATAGTGAAAGAGGTAATTTCTGTTGCTTTTATTTAGCAGATATCATTATTATTATTTTTTTTTTTTTTTTGATTTCTGGCGTTTACACATTTCTTTCCGGGTCCCGCCCAGGGACCTAAGGTTAGAAATGGCATCATGACACTTTCCACTGACAAAAAAAAAAAAAAAAAAATTTTATATAGATAAAGCCCTTCGTAAAGTGTGGGCTGTACTTGTGAGAACAATTTTTGTATCTCCTTGAGGCATGGACTTCCAGGAATCCCTTCAATTAGTCTACTGCAATCTTTTCCAACCAGTCCTAGGGCTCCAACTACAACAGGGATTGTTGATGTTCCCATATGCCACATTTTCGAGATTTCTATTTCAAGGTCCTTGTATTTTGACAGCTTTTTGAATATCTTCAAAGATACATTGCAGTCAGCAGGACTGCCATATCAATAAGGAGGCACGTTTTTTTGTTTGTGGTCTTTAATAACAATATCTATGATTGGCCTTGATTGTTCTGTCAGTGTGTGTATTGTGTAGTCCCATAGAATTGTAACAGGTCCTATCTCCGTAACCGGGTCTGGGTGGTGTTCATACCAGTTTCTTTCAGTTTCTTCCGTAGAAGTTGCAGATTTTTCCAGTGCAGATATTGGCCCACTCTGTCATGTCGGGTTTTATATTCAGTGGGTGCCAATATCGTGCAACCTGATACAAGATGATCAATCGTTTCTGGATATTTATCACAGAATCTGCATTTTGGGCTGACACAATATTTTAGTATATGTGCTTGATAATTCCTAGTTAACAAGCATTGGTCCTGCGCAGCAAGGATAAAACCTTCAGTTTCCCCTTTCAACCCTGCACTACGTAGCCACTGATGGATACGGGGTTTTGTTTACGTCAGCTTGTTTGGTACGGGCAGAGTATTGGCCATGAAGCGGTTTATCTTGCCATCGCTTCTGTATCTGGTCGGTTGCATTCGTCTTTGCTGTCTTTTTTAAGTATTTTGCAGTTTCAACCGGTGTATTGTGTTGTAGTTGCATCTCTACGCCCATTTGAAACTCCATTTTGAATTTGTTGGCTTCTTTCATTACGGAGTAAAGACGCTTTACTTACATGTTCATCTTCCATGACGCATACCATCATCCAGTCTTCTGTAGTTTCCAAATATCTTTGGAGGCCAATTGTTGTAGTTTTGTAGGACAGTTCTAGTTGAACTAATCCTCTGCCTCCTTCGGATCTGGGCACATACAGACGATCAACATCAGCTTTGGGATGATGCATGCGATAGCAAGTGAGAAGCTTTCGTTTTGGCGTCCATTCGCTTATTTTCAGCTATGGTCCAGTTAAGGACATTAAAGCTGTATTGCACCACAGGGACAGCCAATGTGTTTATGGCTGATATTCTGTTTTTTTTTGAGTTTAGCTCAGTATTTAGTACCAGACGTACACGCCTGTAGTACTCTTTTTCTTATTTTTTCCTTCATTTGGGGGTGTTGTATGCCATCTCCTTCGCTAATTCCTAGGTACTTATAAGCTTCACCATGCTCCAGTTCCCTAATCTTTGTGACAAAATCTAAATCTATTAAGGGTGTTTCTGTAATTCTACCTTTCTTG